TCAGATATACATACTTATTTTCTACCAAGGATAAGCGGACAAATGAGATAAGTGAAGAAATAATTGAAGAAAAGTAACATGTTATATATATATATATATCTATTTTTCTTTTTTTTTTCAATGTTTCTTAATTAATTAAAATTATCTATCATTTTTCTAAATTTGTATCTAACAAAGGAAGTGTGTGAGAAAAAAAAAAGGAAAAAAAAAACAGAAACAATACTGTGTGATGATTTGTAGCCTTCGAATGAAGTTTGCCACGTTTAATCCATATCGATTTGATACTTTTGTAGCTTCGTACGTCAATAACAAAGAGTTTAAGTTGTACGTCATTGTCACAGCTTTTACAAAAAATATTATTAAAAAGTGATAACAATATAATAATAATAATAATAAGAGGAAGAGGAAAAAATGAAAAAAGTGACATTATTAAAAATTGGGGAAACATATCGAATAAATTTGAATTAATAATATTTTTATAATGTGACAAAATATAGTTACTATTTTATTTTCTTTCTCTCTCTCTTGTTTTTTTTTTTTTTTAATTTATTTATTATAACAAGAATAAATATATAAATATAAAAATATGATATATTTAAATAATCTTTAACGACAATAACAAGTCGAATCTATAAATCTCTACTCATCCCTTTCACCAGAAAGTTTCATTTCATTTGAGGAGAAAGTCTGAGTTCTTAGAAAAGACAAGATTTATCTTTCAAAATTGTATACCACATTATTTTATATTATTTATAATATTAATTATATGAGATATTTATTTTGATTCTCGTTATAACACTAGATATATCACCATTTTCAGTATACCTATTTCTACCACACTAATCAAAATGACTGGTGTATAAAATAAATGCTTTTTCAAGCTTCCAGTCTTTATTTACTCGTAAAAAATAAGAAAATATGTTTAACAATAATAATTTTAATAGATAAATAGATTTATAGATATTTTTAAATAACAAAACGTTTAATTATTTACAAAACTCAAATGTTACATGAAGTATTATAAATTTTGAATTAAAATTACCCGACCAGTCAAAATGATTGATCTGATATATTTAATGTTAATATAACATTTTAATAATATGCTTATATATTTTTGGTTTGATTAGAAAAAAATGGAGAACCAGCAGGTATGGGTCCGCGACCCACAGGAAGGTTTCATCATTGGAAAATTCACGGACATGGTTGATGGTGATGCATTAATTGTGCCACTCGATAAGAAATATCCACAACGCACTTGTCCTCTCGACGAGGTCTATCCTGCCGGAGAATACACCAAAGATGTGGAAGATAACTGTAAGATTAATTAAAGATTAACGATAACATTTAACTTTGTTTATTCACTTGTATATAAAACATTTTTTATTTTTTTTAATAATACTCAAAAACACTTTAATAATTGTGCAAGTGAAAAACAATATTGTTACTTTTGATTTATCGTACTTTACAAAAAAAAAATTACCAATCAAAGACGTATTAATTTTTCGAAACGATAAATAAAAATTAAAATTGTTTGTATTTTTTCACCGTGAAGGGTGGGAAACTCTTCGATTAAAAGGAACCTTGGGCTGCAGCCCAAAATGACCTTGTCCTAAATTTGCCCCTTATTTGATGGTTTTTTTTTTTATCACTTATAAAATAATTGAATGCAATTAATAAATGTGATATTTTTCTACATTTATTATATAGCATAATAATTTTTTATACAGAAGTATTTTATACATAATTTGATTGATTTATAATTGTATAATATACAATTAATAATTAATGTATACATTAAAAATATTATTTTCCACAAATCTAGTATGCAAGGTGTGAAAATAAAACATTTTAATAATTCAACGAGTACCTAATAGAATAGAAATAAATGTAAGTAGTACCTTAGAAGGTATACAATCTCTTTGTTAAGTTTATCACTGATCAAAATTCATTAGAAGCGCACGTTACGCTCGATTCTCACGAAGGAAACTTTCGCTATTTTGTAAATCCACTTTCACCAAATTATTTGTTATTATTTTTCTTCATTTTAGGTGCATTGATGTACCTTAACGAGGCCACTTTGTTAAACAACATACGTACTCGTTATTTCAAGGACAGCATATATGTAAGTATACTGAACAAATGTGAATGAATTAATTATCTGTTTATTCATGCTGCAAATGAGTTTCTTTAATTACGAAAATTGTAATAATATTATTTTTTTTAAATCTACGAATAATAATAATTAAATAATTGTTATTGCAGACATATGTAGCTAATATTTTGATAGCTGTTAATCCTTATTGTGAAGTTAAAAATCTTTATTCGCCGAAAACTATCAAAGATTACAAAGGAAAATCTTTAGGCGAGACACCACCACACGTTTTTGCAATTGGTAATTTTTAGTAATAGTTATAATATTAAATGTCAATGTTTATATTACTTAAAAAAAAAAAAAAAGAAATAAGATTTTATTTCATTAATCGTTTGTACATATAGCTGACAAAGCCTTCAGGGATATGAAAGTATTGAAACAATCTCAAAGTATTATTGTTTCGGGAGAATCTGGTGCTGGTAAAACTGAATCAACAAAATATCTTCTAAGATATCTTTGCGATCTCTGGGGATCTACAGCTGGACCGATCGAACAAAAAATTCTTGATGGTAATATTTCAATATTAATTGACAAATCGACAAATCATTTGAATGAAAATGATTAATATTAAAAAAAAAAATATTTTTTAACGATTATTAATGTACTTTTCTTTTTTTTTTTTTTAGCCAATCCGGTGTTAGAAGCTTTTGGAAATGCAAAAACAAAAAGAAATAACAACAGTTCGCGATTCGGTAAATTCATGGAAGTACATTTTGATGCGAAATGTCAAGTAGTCGGTGGTTATATATCCCATTACTTGTTGGAAAAATCAAGAGTCTGTTTGCAAAGTCCGGACGAAAGAAATTATCACGTTTTTTACATGATGTGTGCCGGTGCACCGCCAGAGTTACGTTCTAAATTAGGAATCACTAAACCTGATGATTTCCATTATTTAAAAAATGGTTGCACGCAATACTTTTGTAGTCAGGAATCTGAAAAGAAATTAAACGATGCGCAAAAGAGTCCTGAACAGATAAAAAAAGGAAGCCTCAATGATCCTTATTTAGATGATGTTGAAGGATTCAATGCAATAGATCAGGTAATCCAATCTTACAATCTTCATATTTTATTTAACAATTTATATCATATTTTAATTTAATTATTTTATACAATTGTCTTATTTTTAACAAAAATTTCAATTTTTGAATTTTATGGCTGAGAAATTGAGAGTTATTTTCATTGTTTTTATATCTATTTGTTTTTATATTGTATTTATATCAAAGTACTTTTCAAATTTGATTTTTGAACATTTGATTTTTTCTCAATTTCTCAGCAATACCAAAAGGATCTAATACAAACGTATGATACATAATTTTGAGAGTCAACATTTTTTTATCTATTTCTTATTATTTTTTAATTACTATCCCCTTTTGTATTGCCAACGCTGATATTTCCTTCTTCCAGGAAAGAGCAACGGTAATTGAATTTGTTGTTTCTGTCATTCATTGTATAATGTGCATCAGCAATTTTAAAAATAAATCGCACATTTCATTCTTTTGTTATTGATTAGAAATTTATTATAAGAAAGAAACCAAATATTGCTTGAATAGGCGAAAGTTAATCCTTTTTTTGTTAACGTATGATAAATTTTATTTTGATGCTTACATACGTCAATTTTTTTTTTCTAAAATCTTTGTTTTTGAAATTGTAGTCAAATACGAAGAATATTAAAATAAAAACACGAAACAATATTTCGTTTAATTTCGATATTAACACATGCAATTTGATGTCACAATAATTGTTTTTTAAAAATCAAATAATTTAGGCATTAACTCGTCTTGGATTGACGGATTCCGAAAGAATGGAAATTTATACGATGGTAGCAGGAGTTCTTCATCTTGGTAACATAACTTTCGAGGATAATCCAGAAGATACAAAAGGTGGTTCAAGAATAAGTCCAACTTCTGAGAAAGCTATTCTGATGACTGCTAAATTATTGGGAGTTGATCCTGAAGAACTTAGACAAGCATTAGTATCTAAAGTTATGCAAACTAGTCGAGGTGGTATCAAAGGAACCGTAATTATGTGAGTCCAATTTTTATCTAATGTAAACATCTGCACAATGGTTAGATAAAAAATAATATAAATATATTGATGTTAAACATTGTAGGGTGCCTCTTAAGGTTTATGAAGCTAATAATGCTAGAGATGCTTTAGCAAAAGCTATTTATAGCAAATTATTTGATCATATTGTTGCTAGAATCAACAAAAGTATTCCTTTTAAGGCATCGAGTTATTACATTGGTGTTTTGGATATAGCAGGATTTGGTAATACAATATTATAGTACGATATAATAACATAATAAACGAAAAAAAAATTGTATCTTTAATTGGATTATTCTTATTTACAGAATACTTCAAAGTTAACAGTTTTGAACAATTCTGTATTAATTATTGTAACGAAAAGTTGCAACAATTTTTTAACGAACGAATTTTGAAGTATGAACAGGATCTCTATGCAAGAGAATCTTTGAATGTTCCTAAAATTTCTTATGTAGATAATCAGGATTGCATAGGTAAAATTTGATATATTTAATCATTGATATTTTTTCATTGTTTTATTTTTAAATATGTATATAATGTATATTTTGAAATATTTTCTAGATTTAATTGAATCCAAAACCAATGGTATCTTCAGTCTGTTAGATGAAGAATCTAAATTACCAACTCATAGTTTTGCACATTTTACCAGTGAAGTACATCGTGCTTGGAATGGACATTTCCGTATTACTTTACCACGAACTTCTCGCTTAAAGGCGCACAGGGAATTAAGAGATGACGAAGGATTTGTCATTCGTCATTATGCAGGTGGTGTTTGCTATCAAACGGTAAATTAATTCATCAATTTTTATATATTATATATTAATTATCGACTATAAAACTGTAATTAAAATTATTTACGTATGAATATTTTGGAAACAATATAATTACTTTTTAATTGAATAATTTAATATTATGATATATCAATTAATAATTTATCTCCCTCAACGATATTATGTTTTTTTTTTTGCAGAATCAATTTATCGAGAAGAACAATGACGCTCTACATGCTTCCTTGGAAGCATTGATACAAGAAAGCAGTAATAAATTTCTTCGTACACAATTTGCCAATAATTCTTCTCAAAAAGGAAAATTAACATTCATCAGCGTTGGTAGTAAATTTAAAACGCAATTGGGTGAACTCATGGGTAAATTAAAGAGTAACGTAAGATTTATGAATATTTTATAATGATAATAAGAGAATTTGTGTTTTGTCATGTTTGTTTGTTTCATTGAGATAATCTTATTGTAGGGCACAAATTTTATTCGATGCATAAAACCAAACAATGATATGGTTGCACATCAATTTGATGGTAACAGCATTTTAGGTCAACTGCGTTGTTCGGGAATGACGTCTGTATTGGAATTAATGGAACATGGTTATCCCAGTAGGGTTCCTTTTCAAGAATTGTACAATATGTACAAATCTTATCTTCCTCCAGAATTGGCTAAATTAGAACCAAGATTCTTTTGTGAAGCTCTGCTTCACAGTTTAAAATTGAACAAGAAAGATTTCAAATTTGGTATAACACGCGTTTTCTTTAAACCCGGTAAATTCGCAGAATTTGATAAAATTATGAAATCAGATCCAGAAAATTTGAAAAAGTTAGTAGCAAACGTAAAAAAATGGCTACTCAGATCGAGGTGGAATAAAATGCAATTCTGTGCTTTATCCGTGATCAAATTAAAAAACAAAATTATCTATCGTAGACATCATTTATTGATTCTTCAAAAAACTGCTAGAATGTACATTGCTAAGAAGCAACATCGGCCACGGATAAAGGGTTTGGTTAAGATAAAGTTTCTTCAAACGCAATTAATACAAATCCAAGATATATCGAAACAATTAAAGAATCGTGATAAATGTGCTGCTGATATCAAACGATTGCAAACAGATCTTGAAAATTCTATTCGTCGTATCAAAGAGGATTCGAAAATTAAAGCTGAGGAAATTGATACACTTTATACGAATCTGGTTAATCAAATGAACAAGCAAATGGTGTCTATGCAAGATATGGTCAAACAACAGAAAATAGCGGAGGAACAAGCAAGAATGAAAAAAATACAACAGGAATTGGAACTTGAAAAGCATATGAAGGAAGAGGAAGAACGTAAGAAAAAAGAGGACGAAGATAATCGAAAGAAAAAATTGGAAATGGAGGCTAGAAGAAAAGCTGAAGAGGAACAAAGAAAGATACAAGAATTGGAAGACCAGAAAGCTGCTGCAATTATTCAGGTATAAACATTTACATTATTTCTAATTGTAAGCATAACAATTATTTTCGATAATATCTTCAATAATTCCAACATAAATCTAAATTATTTCAAAACCAATAATGTAGGCGCAATTAGAAAAGGAGGCTATGGAGGAAAGCCGTTACCGTGAATTATTAGAACAAGAAAGACGAGATCACGAATTGGCTGTACGATTAGCTCAAGAATCTAATGGACAAGTGGAAGATTCACCACTACCTGTTCGAAAGTATGCCTGGAATTTTATTACTATTATAACTATAATTATTATGTTTCCCTATTTTTTTTTCATTTCTTTCAAATCGTCACGATTAAGCAAACAATTGCCCTATTGAATGACTCATGAATTATCTTTAGAAACTATAATATTGTTAAATATTACGCGACTAGATTTAAGGGGACCTTCTACTCTGAGCACCTAAAAAAAAGGCTATTTTCGCGAATTTTTTCCAAGAAAACTATAAAAGATATCGATCTAAAAGTTGTTGGGTTTGTTAAATTGAGTCTTAAACTATATAAATGAATTTTTATTTTTTCATTTTAATTAATTTT